ATTTCTTTGCTTATTTTGGTTCCCTGATATTTTCATTTCAAGATGATATTTGATTAATATTCTTTATTTCTTGTTTTATTTTCATTCATTTCTTTATTTAACTTATTATTTATTTAATTTATTTGTAAATGTTTTCTTTTCTTCGTTATTTTGTATCATTATTCTCATTTCTTCATTATATAATGTATGATTTATATTATTGAACTTATATTTAATGATTTGATAAATTATATTTATTTTGATAATGATAGAGATGATAATGAATCATAATGTAAAAATTATCATTTTAATATATCATTTATATTCATTATATTTATATCATATGATTATATTCATCATATTCATCATATTTTATACATTATTTATGTTGATTTATTCTATATTAAATTATTTTAATATTTATATTACTTATTCATGATTTACTGATTCATATAATTTATTAATATTATAATATGATTCTATATATTTTCTGTATTTATCTTCTTTTTGTTGATTTAATATATAATAATTATTCATTATTTATCATCAAGAGATTATAATTTACATCAAAATTAGTTTTGTTGAATCATAAAAAAATGTATTTTTATGTTAATATATGTTATATCACTGTTCTAAGATTGTTTAATTCATCATTAATTTAAGTAAAACTTTTCATAAATCTTTAAACAGAAAAAGAAAATAAGATATATTAAAAAATATATCTAATAAAAATGAATAGAATAAACTATGATATTTAAATGATGATATCAAAAATTAATAAGTGACATACAGATTCTAAAAACTAATAAAATATGAATATACTAAATATAAGAAGAAAGAAATAATAAGATAAAAGAATTTAAGAAAGAAAATTATTATTAAAAAAGAAATCAATCCAGAAACAAACTGAACAATGAAAAGAGAAATAAACTTTTATGTATAAAACCCATAAAATTTGATTCAACAAAACAATAAATGTATAGAAATAATAAAAATATCTGAATAATTGTATATTATTATTTAAAATCAATAAACCTCTACAAGATTGTTTAATATCTTCAAATTAAACTTTTTTAGTTTTAAAATAAACAAATGTTCATATTCAAATAATTACTAAATAAATATAGAAATACTTCAACAAGAATATCAAAATCATATAAAACAAAATGTATTTTACAAAAATCATCTAAAAACTATTCTTATAAATAAATATGGACTAAATCAACACACAATACCAAAATAAAGAATCATATTATCACAACCAACTTTTTTATTAGTATCAAAACGAATTTAACAGATCGTCAATGTCAGAACTTGTACTAAAACAAAAAATAAACTGATTGATAAGCATAGTATTAATAAACAATATTCATTAACATATAGTAAAAATACAAAATTACTCTTCTCAAAAAAAAAAGTAAATTCATTATGAAAAATAACTTAACAAAACGTTTAAAAATCATCAAAACTAATTGACTCTTGGTACAAAAACTACTTGTAATAAATTATTGATTTCTTATAATGATCTATTATTAAAAACTCTTAATTGTAAATTTAAATATGCCTAACTTATATTATAGAAGATATTTAACTATATTCATATCAATATACTTGAAATAACTCCAAGACTATTCAAATTTAATAAACCAATTTATTCATCGTTATATGTTTGGATTATGTTCATATTTCATTACTATTATTAAATAATTATGATATCTTATTTTGTCATGTTTAGCAATACAGTTTGTGTATATTCTAATTAATTTTTAATCAACCAATTCACATTTGTGTTTAACTTAAGAGTGAATTGTATTTTATTTTAATTATTCATGTATATGTTATAAATAAGAAGAGATTAATTATACTAAGTTAATATAATCTTTTAATTAGTATCTGTAGAATGTTATTTGTTCTAAATTAATGTGTTTTAAGTTATAAAATTGTTTTTTCTCTTTCATATTGTTTAAATAACATTTAAAGGGAGTTTATGTGAATTTATTTGGAATAATTTTTTATTATCAGATTATTGAATACTCTCGTCTTTATTTAATTATTCTTATTGAATAAACAGGTGGTTTTATTATTCTAGATGTCAATTAGTTGTATGACTGTTATCAATCAATTTAAAAATTGTTTTGAATCTTGAAACGATTGTATCAGAAACAACAAAAATACTTCTATTATCATCTTATATTCAATATTTCTGTTTATTTAATATTAATGGTTTAAAATGTTTTGAATTAGTACACTTTATATTATCATACAGCAAAATTAGAAACAAATGTTATGTGACAAAGAGAAAATAAAATTCAATTGAAGAATGGTTATGAAATACTAAATACTCACTGTAGTTATATCATTATTATTAAATCTCAATCTACTGAATTAAGTTATCTTTTTGTTGAATAAAAATACATTGTATTAACTTCACATAAAAATCAGACAGTATTTAGATAATCTTAGATATAAGCTTAATAAAATAGAGAATAATAAGTAGTCAATGAACTAAATGGAACAAAACTTAAAATAGTGTTAGAATTTATTCAAAAAACCACAAATATTACTAACATCAGTTAATAGATTATTTGGTTCTTATTAAAATATTGGTTCAAATAATTAGTGAAAATACAGAAGAGTGAAGATAAAAAGAGAGTATTGAAAACAATAAAATTATTCAAGTATATATTGCAAAACCATAAAAATGAAATATAAATGAATGAGTTTTGTTAACATCAAAAGTATAAAACGATATTTTGATTGAATATCACACTCTAATACATAATGATGAAAAGAACTTTTAATGAATAAAATTAAAGGTAAAGTGTATTGTCTATCATTTGGTGATAATTTTTTAACCAATTAAACAATTGAAGATAATGAAAAAAAGTATTGAAAAAATCTAATTAAAATCTGAGTTAATTGTTTTAGTTTGAGTAGGTAAATTCTATAAATTTGTATGGATTAGAACATGATAAGAAGGATAAATTTCAAAAAGGAGAATAAAGAATGGTTAATTGAGTTTGTTCTGAATTATTTTAATTAGAAGACAAATAATAAAATAGTAATAAAAGAATAATAAAAGAATAGTAAAAAGGAGAGAGAAAAAGAAAGAAAAGAATAAAAAAGAATTAAAAGAACTACAAAAATATAATTGAATTAATGCCATCAACAAGTGAAATTGAAGACCCTTTGATTAATGATGGAGAAATGAAAGAAAAGAAACCAGTAAAACAAAAATGGTTATGGTCATTATATATAATATTAACAGTAATGTCAATAATAACATTGGCATTAACTATTACTACATTAATTATTTTATCTACAAAATTAGGAGAAATTAATTATACAATAGTTAATAGTCCAAGTTTACCTTCAGCATATATTATTCCTGAAAATAGAATTACTCCTGTTAAAGGACAATTAGCTAGAGGTACATGTTGGATATTTGCAACAATAAGTTTAATTGAATCATCATTACGTAAGATTGCAATAGAAAATGGATCAATTAAACCAAATGAATATATTGCATTAAGTGAACAAGCATATGGTAAATTAATGTTACAATTATGTAATGGAACATATGAAGCAGTTCCTGATGATATTAAAACATTTTGTGAAGATGGAGGAATGGGAAAAGGAAAAACTGATGATGGAGAAATTGAATGGGTTTATTATTTTAGAAAATATAATTCAAAATTCTTTTATCCTAATGAAATTTGTCCATATACTATTCGTAGAGGAAAAGGAGATTGGGAATGTGATGGAGTTGATTTAAAGAATCCAATAAAAGAATCACCATTTAATATTCAAATTAATAATTTAAAAAGTAAATATACTCCTCAAAATATTAAACAAATGATTTATGATACACAAGGACCTGTTGGATGGGGTCATGCTACATTAGGAAGAACATATTTATATCCATGTGATTCAAAATCACCATTCATAAATAATGAAGATTGTATTTTACATAAATATCCATGTGAAAATGGATTTTGTAGTAAAGTATCAACATTAAGTTTTGGATATGATGGTATTTTTAAATTACAAGGAGAACCAACAAATAGAGGAGGACATGCAATGAATATTGTTGGATGGAATGATGAATATCTTGGAGGAGGATTTATCATTAAAAATTCATGGACATTACAATCAGGACATTCTATGGGATATTTTATGGGTAATCATTCATTATTTAATGAAGATCAAATATGTCCAACATATAATTCAATAAATAAATGGATTCCAATGAATTATGAATGTTTTAAAACTAATCAAGATAGTGAAATGTGTCCAAATATTACACGTACATTTGTTGGAATTGCTAATCATGGAGCAACAGTACTTGTTTGTGCAGGAGCTAATTCAATTACAGAAACAACAAAATTAAGAGCAAATGATTATGGATATGAACCATGTGGAAATGATGAAGGAAGAAGTTATTATTATGCACTTGAAATGACACATGAAACTGATGGATCAATATATAAACCATATGTAGAATATCCTAAAGGATCAAATGGATATGCTATTTTCCATATGTTAAGATGGACACAAGGTAATGAAGCAAATGTAGAAAGAATTCAAACAAATTATACAACATGGCAATTTATGGAAAGATTATTTACTCCAAAAGATTTGTCTAATTTCTTAAATACAGAACATTGTGGATATTACTTTATGTCATATGATACATTCTTAGAACATGATTTAAGACATCCAATTGGAGGACATGATACTTATGTGTTTTCATCTGTTGATATTAAATTTGATAATTCAAACTTTAATAATAAAGAATTATTTAAAAATTCTACTTTCGAATATCAATTACCAGTTTTCTCTGGTTCTCTTGATTTTAATTGAATTAAATAAAACATCATTTTTATTTTCATTTATTTTTTTGTTAAATAAATTTGTTTTTTCTTATAATTAATTCTTTTTTAATTTTTTAATTCTTTTTTTCTTTTTTTTTTTTAATTTAAAATAAAAAAAAAAAACAACATTTATTTAATTCATTTAATATGAATTGTAACTCTTCTATTCCTTTAGTTTATTCTGATAATAAAGAAATTGAACAACAACATAGAATGATTGAATCTATTAACCAAATTAATGCTGTATCAAAAAGCATTAATAATTCAATTAACAATCAAATTACTTTAATTCAAAATCGTATCCAATCATTACAACAACGAACAATAAAAATTCAAAATAAATTAAAAGAAATTACTGGAAGTCCAAAAGCAATCACTGTTTTTACTCCAAATAAATCTCCAAATTTAATTATTACACCTATTAAACTACTTGAATCTCCACAACTTCAAATTCAATATAATCAAAATATTCCTTCAAAACCAATTCAATTTAATCAAAATAAAATACTTGTTTCATTAAATAAATATTCAATTAATAATTCATTAATTCAAAAAGAATCTACTCATTTTCTTGTTCCAACTCAAATTCAATCAATAGGAAGTTTATTATTATTTAATAGTGGAGTAAATGTATATGCTGATTATTCTAATTGTGATAATACTAAAAAACTTCATTCAATCTCTTCTTCTGTTTTAAAAAATGAACCAAAAGAAGAACAAAATGACCATTTAAGTGAATTAAATGAATTTAATGCAATCCAAACAGATGACACTTTTGGTTATAGACCAACTCTAGATAAACTCCCTGAACTTTCTTTACCTAATAATCTTCCTAAATTATCAAATATTGCTGAATTATCTTTTAGAGGTTCTTCTCCTCTTCTATCTATTGCTCCTTCCGTTGATTTACCTGATATTGATTTAGACGATGATGATGATGACGATGATATTGAATTAAATACACCTCTATCTATTCCACCTCCACAAATTGTTCCACCTCCACCAATTACAACGCCAACTATCCCACCACCAAAAGATCTTACTCCTGAAGCAAAGTCTGTACTTCAAGGTGGTGGAATGGGTGGATTGTTGGAACAAATTAGACAAGGAAAAAAATTAAAGAAAGTTGAAACAGTGGATAAGTCATCACCCAAAGTAGGAAATAGTTCTGATCCAAAGAAATCTACTACCTCAACTGGTGGAAATGATTTGATGGAAGCCCTAATGTTAAAGTTGAAAACAATGAGAGCAAATTCAAATTATGATGTTACAGATAATGATGGTGATGATTCTGAAGTTTGGGAATAAAGGTGAATTGATTACTTTATTGTTAAATTATTTGATGATTCAAACACAATTTGTATTTCAATCTCATGGTTCTGACCATGATACAAAACAATTATAATAACACTAAATAATAATGACTATTTAACTTTATTTCTTTTCAATTTTTTTATATAAAATACATTGAATTATTATAGATTATATTATCAATAAACCTGATGAGTGTTATTTATCAATGATTATTAATGTTTTTTTTAATTGTTCAAGACTTATGTTAAATAAGTTTCAATTTAGAAAGAATTTATAATATTATCTTCTATTGAGTATATTAGAATGTTTGATATCCTATGTTAAGTGTACTATTCATTATTTACAAAGATAATAAGAATTTATGAATATTTAATATTATCAATACAAATTTAAATCTTTTAATACTCTCACTTAGAAAAACGAACATATGTATTTGTAATAAAAAGTTATTCAGTATTTTATATTTGTTATAGTTTGAACATATTGGTACTTTTTTTGAAACTGTTATAACAATTCTATTACATTCATTTTGGGTTATACTCATTTATCAATAACCATAATCTTATTGTTAATATCAGAGATATGTTTAATTTAAATTGTTTAAGAGATTGGTATTATTATTAATTATTTCTATTCATTTATTGTGTTGTATTGTGTTGTTATCTTATTAATAATAAATGAATGATTTATTAATAATTATGGTTTAATTGTTATTATTTCTCATATCAGTCATTGTGTTTTGAATACCTTATTTCATCTATTCAATTCTATTTAATTATCATTAAATATTATCATTCTTTTTATTAACTATTAATTCATTTAAATATAACTTCATAACATTTTCAATGTTATATTAACACTTAAAATAGTTTGTTATTCTTCTTAAATCAAACCATCATAATAATAAATTTAATCAATGACTTTATTTCATTTCTAAGTCTACTACCTCTCCTCACTTTATTTATACTAATTAAAGAACGTTTATAAATAAAAAATTCAAAAACAGTTCATTTTTTGTTCATATAGTTTCTTTGTAATGATAATCAAAAAAGAAAAGTTTTCTTTATTTTACAATGTTGTATACTACAAAATGAATAATGTCAATAATAATACAAATTATATATGTATTAATAATTAAACATAATTCATTATAAATACAAAGTGTTTCTTAAACACAAAACCAATTTTGAAAGTACAAATAAACGGAAAGAATTAGAATTGGATGAGGCTAATACCTTCCTTCAAGGACTTGAGCAAAGGTATCACCACGAAGACCATTTCTTAATGCTTCCAAAGCAATAATGTCAGCAGGAGAAATATTTCCCAAATTAACATTAATGCCAAATGTTGAAATTAACCAGGCTTGTTGGGACTTTAATGGGGCTTCCCACATAATTTTATTTGGGTCAACTTCAGAAATTAAATAATCAACCATTTCTTTGTTAACACTTCCGTCTTTGTTGTAAATCCCTGTTGTTCCACTTTCTCTTGCTTCGACAATAACAACCCTCGACCCAGCAGTAAGTTCAGCTTTCATTGAAGTAACCCATTCTTCTCGGGTGTACTCTCTGTTTTTACACTTATTACCAACCTCTGAAATAACAAAATATCCATGTTCAGCACATTCTTTAATGATTTCAAGCTTTCTTTTCTGACCCATTTCATAAGACCCATCACTTACTTCAACCATTTTAATTCCAAACTCTTTCATAATTTTGTGGAAATCTGCCATTTTGTTTCTAGCAATAAACGCCTCAAGGAAGGTACCACCAACATACATTTCAACGCCATACTTTTTGTATATTGCAAGTTTTTCTCTTAACCCCCCAGTAAAAACTGATGTACCAAATCCAAGTTTAAGAAAATCAATATAAGGGGCAGCGGTCATACACAAATCTTCAGTAGCATGATTTCCAAGTCCCTTGTCCATTACCATAGTATATCCGTTATTTCTTGGTTTGACTGTTCTTGGTGGAAGAAAGTCAATCATTTTCATCATTTCTGTCATTTCTTGTAAGTTTTTTTGTTCAAGTTCCTTTTTAAATAGGAGTGTATTTCTTCTTATCTGCTAAATATTTTAATCTTTCTTAGTGAAAAGATAAAATCCCTGAACACAATCAAAAGAAGTTAATAAGAAGAAAAAAAGATAAACCCCTTTCATTGAAAACTAGTACATTTCTTTTAGAGGAAATGCTAGATCACCTGATATTAACTAAAATTCAATAATATGTTCATAAACTTCAATAATAATTACTTATGACTTATTATTAACTTTAATTAGATGTATAGAAAAATAATAAAAATATATTACTTATTAATGAGGATAAGTTAAGTAATTATACAAACCAAGAACTAATGAGAAGAGGAGATAATAAAATCAGGATAATTACTTAACGACTCAATACGACACACACTCTGTTTTGGCATTATTCTTTTTGATTTATTAGTAATTAAGAAAACCGTAATTAATCAAAATTTTAATGAAAAGTCTCAATTATCAGAGCACAAAACATTAGAGAAATAAAAGTATTCAATAAAACACAAAGCACCAATAAAGAGTTTTGGGACTAACAAGAAAAGAGTATGTTAGAGTTAAAGTAACAACAAAAAAAATAATAATAATAAATTGGTTTTACAATACAAGGAAGAAAAGAAAAAGAAAAGAACTAAATTAATTATAAAGATATAAATGAGAAAAACAATATTAGGAATATGGGTTTTAATAACACTTATTGAAAGTTGTGTTGGAGTAGTTATTACTGATTTTAATTCTATTGAAAATCAACCCAGAAAGTTTAAAGGAAAGATTTTTGCCATTATAGAGAGTGATGATGATATGAACATTGCTATTGAACATAAAGACAGAATCGACCAAGTTATTGGAAAAGGTTTTAGTGTTGAATCATTTCCATCAGGAAGTCCTAAAGTTGAAGGAGAGTGGGGATATAAAAAGAATTTTACACATAATATTGGTCATATTATGTTTGGGAATTTTGTGAGTATTGTTAATTGGACGTTTGAAATGACAGAAGTAATTATTGAAACAATAAAAAAATATGGGTTGGATGGTGTATGTATGGAAGATTTAGAAAATGTATATTTTATTACTGGAAGATCAACCCGTGATGTTAGATTGATATTAAGAAGATTAGGAATTGAATTACATAAAATTCAGAAACAGGTATTTGCTATTATTCCAGTTTGTTTAATAAATACATTAAGAATATTTATATGCTATAAAAAGATTAACAATATCTAGCCAAACTCTGAAGCTATTGGAATTAGTGAAATAGCATCATTAAAGAATTTAGTTGATGAATTTATTATTGATGATATGGAGTATTATGATAGAAATATGATTGGTTCACATTGTACTTCTCCTATTTATTACATTAAAGGACTGGTTGAAAAATATACATCAAATTATGATGATTTAATAAAAAAGACATCAATCACTATTGACCTTTCAGGAACAATGCTTTGTCCAAATCAACCACGAAGTATGATTAATTCTACTCATCTCTATAATAAATTACTTCAAGTTAAGAAGTCAGAATGGATAGATGAATGTCAAGAACAAAAATTTATCATGGAAAATGGTTGTGAAATTATATATCCAACTGTTGAGTTCATTCAAAAAAGAATAGACCTTGCAACAGAACTCGGTTTAGACATCACGTTATACAACATCAATGCTGCTCATCCAAATGTTTTTAATCTTTTCTAAACTGAATTGATTCTTTTTGTTATATATTACTATTTCTATAAATAGTAAAATAAATTTATGTTATGAAAAACACAATTAAAAAATGTTAATATTTGAAAAACTTCAAATTATTTATTTTGTAGAAGTTCTATTTCATCTCTAAAATGAAAAATTTCAATAAAATATCCAGAGATCTTTATATTTTGATCTAATAATGAATCTTTTTAAACAATTATTGGTTAATCTATAAAATAATAATAGATCCATTCAAATGATTGGTTATAATAATTAGATGAAACTAAAAATAAACTATAAATAGTGAAAAAAAATCAAATAATAATCAAAGGGAGATGTCTATTATTTCTAACGATAAATTCAGTGATGTTATTTCAAAAGAAAGGAAGATAATATCAAGAAATGTTGAAAGCGGAATTACTAATACTGTTATATGTATTTTGATTAAACAACTTGGAGCTATAGTTTCATTTAGAAGGACTAAAAAAACCAAGAACACAGTCAAGATGATGATTCCAGAGAGTATTACAATTATAGGGACAGTGATTGATCAAAATAATCTTATTGAAATGAGTGATTTACTAATTAGAGAAATGATAAAAGAACAACCAATCAATCGTGAAGGAATGAGTGATAAACAATATAATAGAAGTAAAGAATCATGGATTAACAATGGATTATTGTATCTTTTAAAAATGTATGGATATAATTTTAATATTAGACAAACCAAAAAAGCTAAATTAACTGAAAGATTTGTAAAAGTATCATCAATTAGTCTTCCAAGTGGAGAAATTATTAATGAGAAAAGACTTATTGAGATTGGAATGGAGTTTGAACAATTTATTTCCAATTCTTTTAAAAGAGAAAAAGTACTAAAAGTTGATTCTTCTCAATTATCATCACTTCATATTCCAGAGATAACAGATATACTAGTCAATCAACAATGTCTCTCTTATTGTAGTTTTAATGAACAACAACCAACAACTGGAAGTATTGTTGTAGAGTATCAACCATTATTTTATACCCAAGACATTGGAATACCAGGTACTATTTATCCACTGAGGTATGATAATAATTATTGTTATTACTAATGTCCAATTGAGTTGTATTTACTAATTTAGTCCTTTTTCCTCTTTGTTAATTTTCCTTTTGTTAATAACAAGATTAAATCATTTCTTTTTTATTTAAAGTTCTATGGTTTCTGCAAAAGAACCAAATGAAACAAACAGTTGTAGTTATACCAACAAATCATAAAGTCATTCGTGTTCACTCTGGGTTTCATAATGAATATATTTTAAATCAACTCAAAAATGAATATCATATCATTGATTCTCCAATTCTAAGTCATGACATTCTCTTACCAAATAATATTAATATTGACATTGTTGATGCTGACTCTATTATTTCTGATGCTGATTATACAACGTTAATCCAAAGAAGAAAATATCTTAAAGATACCGATTTTGTTATTTTCTTCTTGAAATCATCTTTTAATTCTTCTCTCATTCAACGTCTTCAATTTGACTTATCACCATCTTCTTCATTTCTGTTTATTCCAATAGAAGATGATGATCTTTTGTTAATGAATTGTATTAACTCTATTCTTAAATCAAATGTTGAGCCTTTTCATAATGATGAAATCAACTTTGCTGATGAGATAAAATCATTTGCATCACAACTATCATCCTTGATTAATGTTGACGTTTATTCATTGATGAAAACAAATCATCTGTCTATTTCTGATTTGTTCAACTCATCATTATTATTATCAAAAGGTATTAATGAAGACATTGTACAATCTCTTCAACAATTATTTTCAACTGATCGTTTCTTATATTTTTTTGTTTTGATTAACAATTTAAAATAAATATAACTAAATCAAAAAAAAAATTGAATAAAGAATAAACAAAATACAATTAATTAAGATGATATAATAACAATTGAAGATTTTGAATAATGCTAATACTTGCACGTTTTGACTCACATATGAATAATGTTTCATTTTTTTCAATTTCATTTGTTTGTATCATTTTCATTTCTTCCAATAATCTCAAACTTCGTTTAAGTTCATTTTCTAAAATCTCCAGATTATTACTCATTTCATCTTTTATTTTATTCTTTTCAATTACTACTTTGTTTTCTTCTTCTTTTATTTTATAGAACCCTCTATTCTTACACACTTCTCTTCCTGACTCAACTTGTGCTGAATGATTTAATGCATCTAATATTGATTTTCTCCATTTTCCATTTTGAAAGATTTTTAAGTTTTGAAATAATGGTAAATGGTCGTTGATAAATGGGAGGATGTCTTTAACTAAAGAATAATATTCTATTTGTGGTTTTAATACTTTGAGTGACTTTAATATCAATAAAACTAATCGTGTTGTTTTCATTTTTGGGTTTTTTGTTTGAAAGAACGTCTCTTTCTTACAAATAAGACACTGACAACAATGAACGGTTCTAGCTTCTTGAATATGAGTACTTTCCATTGGTGTATATATTTCTTAATCAAGTTCTTTTTATACTTCATATTTCGTCTTTCTCGAAATTCAATCTTGCACAATCCAGTATTCTCTTATCCTTCTTCATTTCTTTTACAAAATTGTAGACTTTCTTTCCCTATCT